ACGGCACACGCTGAATGATTATCCATCAACAGAATCGTGGGTGAACTGTAGCCACCCCGATTGCAGAACACGAGTTTGGTTCAGTTTGGCTGTTAGTTTGGTGGTGTGTGATGTGTACATTTTTTTCTTATTTTTCGATAGGCTTATCACAAGTGTATTCGCGGCCATTGGGGACGTAAGAAAAAAGAAAACAACTGGCCCCAAGAACTTTAAATTATCAGTTAGCATGCACCTTTTCCTTGATATGTAGAGAATTTACCATTAATTGTTAGAGAAAATTGCATTTAAAATCTTCCATTTATGCTTTTTTCATCATTCGCACAGTATGTTCTTTTACTAAGCTAGAACACTAATTAGAAATAGTTCCCGCATCATCAAGAACAATAGGGAAGGCTTGAAGTGAATACAATAATCTAAACGGTTTTGTAATCCATGTGAAGACACTTCTAAAATTGCCTGTAGAAACATTAAAGGCAAAAGTTCAACTTTTTCACAAGACGGATGGCTATAAACCTATTCAACGTGTGACAACTCAGCCGGTATATCGTCGCCCACAGCCCAGCTTTCCCTAGTGACCGATAGAGGCGCTGCTATCGATGTCCGCCCGTGCCGCCTAACGTAGCAAAAACGGCCTTATGGTGGCCGTGGAGCTAGCTAAGGGTATCAACCGTATCAACCTTCGTATACCTAAACCCTAACAATTGGTACCAAGCAATATGAGAAAAGCTTCACTAACACACAATTTGCGGATCTTGGACGACCTTTGATGTGGCCTTTGACGTCATGTATTGGTCTAGAAACCAAACCCACAATTTGGCATCGATTGATCATCGTGGCACGAGGCACACTCGTCATTTGTTGCGTGACATAATACGGTAATGGGCCTTCTCCGTGTGGAGGCAGCGGGCCGGAGAAACAAGTCTTTCTCCCGTTGATCCGCTGCACGAATACCAAAACACCAGCACAACACAGCTCCACTGCGCCTCCGCAGGCAATCCAAGCGACACGCCTTGGTGGTTCACTAATGTTTTATTTATAATGTGCTTAACGGATCGATCATGTTCCAGGGACGGTGAGTCCCCTTTGCTGCTGGACCTGTGCAAAATTAGACATTGAAATGCACTCGCACAATGTCTGAGCCCTAACTGCGCGGGCCAGTGAGTTTGCCTGATACGAGTGCAGGCCATGGGGGCCTTTGAATTCACTTGGCACTAAAATGATGGTACTATTGCATATGCATTCCATCATTGAGCAGTCTGGTCTTGGAAGCGAGAGCTGTTCTAAGCTAAAGGAACGTTTTTGCGCCTCGGCAACCAATCATTGACCCATCTCCGGTGACCCGAAGCGCGCTTTTCCCAAGGCACTGCTGGACAATCAGATTAATGAATAGCCCTAATCAGTAAATGTTTTGTATTGGCTGGCTGCAGCTGTGTCCTGATCCGGGTGAGTGCCGGCCTCTGTAGGCCCCGGTACTGACGCCAGGCTGTGACCAGTGTGTACGGCGGTACGGCTACCGGTCTCTGAGAGACTATATGTACATAGTATCTGGCCAATCTTCGAAAAGTTTCTGACACTGACTAGTCTTTGATAAGTCTCTGACCAGTCTCCATACAGTCTCTGATCTCTGACCAGTCTCCATACAGTCTCTGATCACTGACCAGTCTCAGACCAATATCGGATAAGTCTCTAACCAGTCTCTGACCAGTCTCTGACCAGTCTCCGACTACTGACCAGTTTTTGACCAGTCGCTAAAGCCCTTGGTACGGACGCCGCGATAGTGAACAAGTCACTGAAGGACATAACAGGACGGGAAACTGTCACAGAAACAATGAGGAAAGGTTATGGTGCCTTTTACAAAGGTGAGGATTGCGTAACTTTGTATACGACGTAACGAAAAATTATCCAAGCTGGAACGACTGCTTAGATTTGGGAAATGTCCCAAGTAGCGACAATCCCTTGACTCACACAGAGTAAATAAGTTATGTTGGAACATACACGATTCGAGAAATGGTCATTGTAATCCAAATCAAACTGATCCACTATTACAGAGTGCCTCGGTGGCACCGTCAACGCAAATTATACTCCCGTTACTCACTACGTAAACCTCAAAACTGAATCAATGTCTTCTAAATACAAAAATCCCCTGCGATGAGATTAGACATCTTTCGCCGGCCCTGTTGCGTTACTCGACATACGTGTGCGTAATTTTAGTGGTGATATATCACCATCAAACCACTATTTATCTTCGAAATGGACGAAAGCTGAGAGGATATTATTCATTCGCTTTCTTCGCCTCGCAGATATTTGCCATTTGGAGCTAACGGGCTCCACGCTCGTAGCAGCACACCCCGGAAGTCATCTAACCCAACAATAAGCTTTGCATCATCATTTAGTAACAGCAACCAGACCAAAAAACTCTTTTATGGGCGCAGGCTTGAAGTGAAGTGTTCGTGGAAAGCATATGCAAACAATTCTGATATTTTCTATTTTTATATTCATCACAGAAAGGGTTTGACAAATTTGAGACAGAAACCTAAACAAAGCCCCAACCGGCTGTGTGTCTGTGTGTGCCAAAGATGTCGACTGCCGTCGCCGTTAATCCAGGCCGCTGGGCACTGTGACGATATAGTGCCACATTACCGCTGCCACGCCACTATATATTACCACCTGGTTACACAGCAAGTGGGCACCAACTGTGCTATTCCACAATGACTAATTGATGTCCGCAGCAAAGGTATGTGTGATGGATTTGTGAACATTCATTTTGCGCGAGGAACTGTGACGATTCATGTACTGAGGTTAAAGTGGTAGCGCGGAGTGCCCTGTCCCCAATACTTCATGGCTGTGCAGAATGGTGCCTAGATAGATTGTCACGACATAGTTTCTAAAAGTGGTATGCTCTACACAAAAGGAAGACAATTACTAGAGCTAGGAAGACAAATGAAACACTTTCTCAGGAAAACACAGGAAAGAAAAGAAAAAATGGCAAATGTTTGAAACATAGGACTGCCCGGATCATTTGTGTTTTCCCGGCTGCGCATGCATTCAAAATCCATCGCCGCGTAAAACATTTAATCACCCAGACGCTGGGTCCCTCTGAACCATCCACCAGGCGCCGAAATTAAAGCGTCACATGACTTTGAATTCTCAAACTGTTGATATCCGAGAAGTTTCAGGTGAAAGACCGCGAATCATGAAATTTTTGGGCCCTCGAGGGACGTATCTGCTATCTCAACATATTTTCTCATGTAAGGTGAAATGTCCTTTGAGAAGCGATGGTAAAATAAGTGCACGATATTTGGCAAACATCGAACTTTCATGCTTTAACCCTCGCCCGTAAACGACGATCTGCCACCTTCGCCCATGCAGGGGGGGGGGGTTGGTGCGACCCCCCCCCCTTGGCGTTTGGAAACGGAGCGTCGTAGAGCTTAGCGGAAAAGACCAACGGATTGCTCTCGCCGAGATCTCGCGATTGGTGGTATATTTTTTGGTCCTAGGTCAACATTTGACCTACTTTTGACCGGTCAAAGGTCAAATTTTCGGAAAAATAGACTTTTTTCAACTTTCCGCGGCGATTGCGGCAAAACGGTGGGAGATATCGACTTGAAACCTTCACTATCGTGTTCCTTGATCAATTCTCTATCGTTTGGTATGTATTTCGTTTCCCTAGCTCTAAAAATTGGGCGTTGGGAGCGCCGGAAGTCGGCAAGGTCACAGTCGGCGGCAGAAATTCGAAAAAAAAATTTAATTTTTTAAATCTGATTGTATTTTTGGATTTGGAAGGTCCATTTGCTCCCTATAGAAGCTAATATTGCTGCATATTCCCATTGAGGTGACAAGAATTAGCAAAATAGTGGTTCGGGCGCTTTTCAAAAATAGTACCGGACGCTGTTCCTCTTGTGACGTCATAGCTCCGTGACCTGACCTGACCCGGTCAAGTTTCTTATACCATATGATAGCCAATACTTGCCCCAACATGCATGGGAAGTTTCATCACGATCCATCAACCGATGTCCGTACCACCGGCAGGAAACCTCGGGCGTTGGCACTTAGTTTGTGAAAATCCGGCCGGAGGCTGTTCCCTTTGTGACGTCATAACTCCGTGACCTGACATGACCCGGTCAATTTTTTTTCATCAAAAGATGCGCAAGGTTTGCCCCATAAGGTACCCAAAATTTGGCGGCGCTGCGCGCCGCCGTTTTTGCACTATTTCCGAAAAACCTCAGGGGGGGGGTTGCACCAACCCCCCCCTACATGGGCGAGGGTTAAAATGATTTATTTAGCCTCATGCTCAGAAAATAAATGATGGGTCTGCTCGGTATTACGATGACCGCGCCGCGAGCTTAGCCCTGATGTACGATCGGGCGCCAGGCCGGGCGCTCGCTGCAGCCTACAAAAGATGACAGAATGACTTCCGCATGGCCTGCCGTCCATTGTTGAGAAGACGCATAACGCTTACACAAAACATAATGATTACATTGAAATATGCTGCGTTCGACACTATCTTTCGTTTTTTTTTATAGGGGGGGGGGCTGTTAGCGTTGGTGCTGACACGTTTTCCCTAAAAATCCGTTTACCGTTTATCATACCTACATACAGCAGAAAGAAATAATATGCGCCGCGTAAGTCGGGCATGTGAAACCAACACGTTTTGATCAGCATCATTATCAGTGCTCGCTCAGCTGCGATGGTAGGTACTAGAAAACTGGAAACGCGTTGATGAAAACATGGGGCTGCTACAAGAGCGGCTAGCGGACCAAGAAACTTCTTGAAAGTCCGGTCTGAATAATTTTATTCAGTGACACGTATGCTTATGACGGGAGCCAGACTAACTTTCTGACGACTGCACATTTAACGTAACTCCTATTAGGAGTTGGCAAAAACAAGGTCAGCGATGACGAAAACAAGACCTGGAAACCGAAAACCCCGTAAAACTGTTTTCAATCGCGGCCGCCGCTAGTGTTTACTAGCCTCCCACACAACTTCTCTGCAGAACTCACCGACCACGCTGAGCCGAATGGTGCGCCATATTTTCGGCTCGGTGCTAACTTGGCACTCGTAGAGTCCGGCGTCGCGCGGCCGCACGTACTGAATCTGCAGCGTCCACTCGTCCGAGTCCTCCGGATGCAGACACTGGAAGCGCGCGTCCGCGATGAACGTGTACCGGTCCACAGTGATGATGTGGGAGTCGCTGTTACGCACCCACGAGACCTGCCCGAGGGGGAGGGGAAGGGCGGCACAGCGTGATCAATGGTCATACACGTAATAGAGCAGTCGTGAGGCCAGTCCTGGCTGAGCTGTTATGGCGACGAAAAGAGCATTGCGGTGTCATGGTGCAATAGAGCCCCCAAAATAGGCATCCATAGCAGGTTTCAAAGAATAGTTAGAACTACCTCTGCAATTTGCACTTAGTCACTGATAGTGATGCATGAAAATGCACAAGAAAGTGCGTGAGATTGTTTTCATGAATCCACGGGGCTAGATACGAAATGCCGTTGCTGTCAAACATGAACTAATCATTGCATCTTCGAAGGTTATGCGTTCTGCTGTGCTCCATTGATCTTCCGACAACGTTACAAGGCATTGGCCAGATACGGCCGGCCGGGGAGAGAGAGGGGAGGGGAGGGGGATGAATATCGGGGAGGGGCGGTGGATGAGGAGCGGGGAAGATAACGGGCAGGATCGATCAATGAACGCTGCCCCATACCGCGGTCCCAAGGCCAGCGTATATAAGGATTGGGCCAACAGTAGCACACGTGTCACCGGATGAAGGACGTGATTTCCACAATAGGACTCTAGGGGGTCATGTTTGCACATCACTCCTTCGCAAATCAAACCAAAATTGAAGTTTCTATTCTCAAAGATTACCATGAGACTCCTTGGCGTTGGCTCGGTACCAATATTATAATGTTATCGTGAAATCGTTGAGCACTTCTAAAAGAAACTACATTGCAAGGCGTCTGACAAATGGCGGGTTTCATGTCCGTGAAGGCGTCCTGCCGGCGACCGGACCTCTCCACCCACCCGGGCTCGCCATGAATAGCCTCATCGGGAAAATGTGGCCGACGACTGCGTCAATGGGCTCATCACTGCAGGCCATCGTCCCAAGTAGTGGCACATCTATCTGCTATCGCAAATACGGACAAATGTCCGCCGAAAGTTGAGGCACTGACTAGAGGCAGCGGGCTCTGACACGTGGAGTCTGTGCTCGTGTGTGATTCTGCGTATTGAGCTTTCGATGCCTAGGCATAGCGCAACGGCTTATTACCTATTTGAAAAGAAGTTTCCTTGTCGCGAGGTACTGGCGGTATTCGGAAAGTCATTCTACCCAAAAGCCTCTTATCCATTTCCACTCACCGATTTGTCCATGAGGTGGTGGACGGTGCAGTGGAGGAAGGCGTGCGAGCCGACCTGGGCCGTGACGTTGGTCGGTGTCAGCGGGTCGAACACGGGCCCGGTGAGGCGCAGGCTCTCCAGCAGCGAGCTGTAGTCGTGGGTCGGCTGGTCAGCCGCCGCCGCCGCCGCTGCCGCGCACAGAACAGCCGTCAGAGATATACACAGGTGGGGTGGCAGTGAGATGCTGCAACAGCGTTAATTAACGACGTGTTATAGATGCATCGAGAAACAGTCACAGTGGCAAAATGGTGTCATTGATACAGATATAAGGGGTGCAGGCCCACGCCTTCAAACAAAGTCGGACTCGTAGACACAGAAGCACCATGTGTCAACAAAACACCATTTTGTCAGCTACAATCTTATAGACATCGCGGCTGCACGACGTCTCATTATATCTGGCCATTGCGCCAGGCGGCATTGTGCAAAGGGCAGCTGAAGCCTCAGCAAAATCCCGGGTGATATTCTTTTCCACGGCGATGTTCCCAAAGCCTTTCAAATCCGGCGCAAACGTTCGCGATGGCTCTGGGAACGGCTCTCGTTTCTCTTTCGCCTGACGAAATCAGAATGTTGCCGTGTTAGTGCCGCCCCTTGGCTTCTGAGGTCGCCATTACAGGGCCAGGAGAGCGACCGTAGCGGCGGCGCAAGCACCGCCGCAAGAGCGCCACTATAGCCGCCGCTAACAGGATGTTTCTCGGGGGGCCGGTCGGCCAGAAATACGAGTCGATTGGGTTGTTAGTGGCCGGTGCGGTGACGCCGCCGCGGTCGCCGGCGCCGATGACCTCCCGGTCGGGTGACGGGTGGGTCGGATCGTCGCCACCGACGGCCGCTGACGGCGCGGAGACGGGAGATGGGTAGACGCCGCGACCGACGCCGCCCAGCCGCCGAATCAGCATGCAGAAGAGCGATGGGCCCGGGTTTAAGTGGGCGAATCGGCCGCCCGCCCTGCGGGAACATGATAATGCATTGAGGCCGTGACCCATGACCCATTTTAGTCCAATAGAGTGCAAGTAAAATGGATGTAGAGGCATTAATATCGAACCATATTAAATTTCACAAGTAATGCCGCTAACTATTTCCAAAACCGAATCTTATCTTACAATATCGCACGAAAATTCGCTTACTGTTTCTAAAACCACATCCTGCTAGTGCTGTCCAAGCCCAAGGGCAAGGCCGTTTAGGCGTTTCTGCTATATGAATATAAAACATGTTATTTTGAGCATTCATCTCCATTCTCCAAGGACATTTATGTAATACTCTTCGGCGAGCGAATGGTAAATGATGCACAATGTGGTAATGAACCGAACTTCCAGAGGTCTCGCGCATCAGACCGAGTTGATGAGTTTTCAGAAATTCCTCACTTCACAGGAGGGCTCGGAATGGCCATCCCGGCGACCCAGCAGGTTACATTTTTCATGTGTCCGGGGTTTTATATTGCGGGACATGTGTTTCATGATTTAGCGAGTGACGAACCGCGGGACCTCTCCGTGAAATAGGTCCCACTTGCTCGAAGGGCGCCGCGGGCAGTGACATACTCGACCAGTAGCAGCTCATGCCACAATGCAGCAGTTTCAGACGTTGATGGGAGAATCAATTGCGCTTCTTTCTTGTTTATTTCGAACGCAAGACGTCAAAATAAAATACAATGAAATCAAATAATCATGAAAATCAAGGCAAATCCGTCAAAATCCTTGCGTAATGAGCCTCAGTGGCGGATCCAGGGGGGGGGGGGGGCAAAATGGGCATTTGCCCTCACCAAAGCTAAATCGTGTGGGCAAGACTATCTTTTTGCCCCTCCCGAAGATGAGAAAATCTAATACGGCGTCGATGCCAATCTGGACGAAAAGCAGGACTTCGCTCGTTTCTGAAGATTTGGGTCGGTATTCGGTAATGGTATGCTGATAAACGGAGTGAATGCATGCTGGTGTAGTGTGGCGTTGTAGCTCACTTAGTCACCGGTGCGACGGTGGGTCGGGACCGCCGAATGGGTCGGAAGCTTTGCCCTCCCCAAACGGATCGGCTGGATCCACCTCTGATGAGCCTTACCAAATTCTGGAGCTAAAGCTGCAGGTTGAGCGGGCACCGGGCTTTGGCCCCCACGCTCTGAGGGCTGCTGTAAACAAACAACGCCGCTGTTTGAAGAGAAAATGACTTCAAGCGCTTGCGACAAAGGTGTATGTAAATGGGAGCAGTCTTAGAGAGGCCCTGGAGGTAGGTTCTCGCCAGCAGGGAACAACAAAGCGGGAGACGAACTAAGTTCAAATAGGTGATGTCACTTCACGTTACTGCCCATTGTCTTTCACCGTGGGGAGAGAGAACCTTCACTTGTTTGTCATTTAAATTTGCTCTGGGGTTAAATTGAACGGGGTTCAGGGTTAAGAGAGAGAGAGAGAGAGAGAGAGAGAGAGAGAGAGAGAGAGAGAGGAGAGAGAGAGAGGAGAGAGAGAGAGAGAGAGAGAGAGAGAGAGAGAGAGAGAGAGAGAGAGAGAGAGAGAGAGAGAGAGAGAGAGAGGAGAGAGAGAGGAGAGAGAGAGAGAGAGAGAGAGAGAGAGGAGAGAGAGAGAGAGAGAGAGAGAGAGAGAGAGAGAGAGAGAGAGAGAGAGGAGGGGAAAAATCAAATCACGAGACAGTACGTTCGTTAACAAATATTACTCCAGTTATCAGAGAATTGGATGACGTGATCAATTTTCGTTTACTTCAAATTGGACTTTAACACTCGCCCGTATTGGTGTTTTTCCAGCCGCGAACGTATAAGGGGGGGGTCCGTTGGACCCCCCCCCCTTGCCGTTTCGCCCCTGATCAAGCTAGAGCTTCGCGGAAAAAACGAGCGTGTTGCCCGTGACGAGAGGAAGCCGATGATACCTAATTTTAAGGTCCTAGGTCATTGGTTGACCTTGCAGGTCAGGTCAATGACCCAAAAGTCGGGAAAATCGGGACCTGTTAGAACGTCGTAAAGTGTGGCTGCTACGGGTTTTTTCGGGGTGCTGATCACGAATATCATGTTAGTTTTGATCACAGATGATATCTTCATGCATTTAGTCCAGGTCGGGTCAGGTCAGGTCAGGTCAACCAGTAGGGGTCCTGCCGGGTATTCCTAGTAGGTGTCAACCGCCTCTGTCAGCTTCGTAACATGTTACGAAGGCACCAAAACTACTTCGCAAATGTTCAAATGGTTGCTAAATTCGAATTCAGCTGCAAAAACTGGCCTAGGAACATGTAAAACTCGAAAAAATGAACCGAGGTCATCAAAGGTCAATGACCTGACCTGACCTTCAGGTGACCTTGACACCCAACCTACCGCCTGGGGCAACATCATATCACATGTTTGAACGCTTGAAACCACGAAAAGACTGCAAACGCGCGGCTAATGCAAGCCGAGATACGCCGAATCGCGATTCCGGCCAAACATGGTCTCGAAAAGTATGTCACAGGTCAAAGGTCATTGGGGTCAGGGTCATGAAATTTTTAGAGTAGGTGTAAAATTGATTAACGCGAGGGTACTGAAAGTTTCGTCGCGATCGGCCGCTTTTTACGCGAGTTATTTGCGAAAAACCATGGGGGGGTCCGTTCGACCCCCCCCCCCCTATACGGGCGAGGGTTAACCTTAACCCGCGCCCCAGTGGCGGTCTCAGCCAACTTCGCCCTAGTGTGTGTGGGCGGGGGGGGGCATATGTTACCACCCACCTCTAACTCAAAAACTAAGAGGGCTAGAAAGACGCGGTAAAAAGCATTCGATAGCTCTCGATGAGTACGTTTAAAAGTATTTCAGTCATTTTTCATCTTAGAGCAATATTGGGGTCACCAGAGGTCATCAAAGGTCAAAATTTTGCGAATTGTCATTATGTTATTGTTCAGAAAACATGCGATAATTATCTCAGAAACTATGATAGTTAGAAAAACGCTTGGAAAAGCAATCGATAGCTTTTGAACTCTTCTTTTGATAAGGTCATCATAAAAATCACCTCAGGTCAGTGGTTTAGCCTCCAGAGGGCAACAACTCCAATAATAGCTGTTTTTCCGAAAAGTGTTTTTCGCCAATAACTTTTGACTCAAGACCGCCACCACGACCTTTCTATTGCCAGAATCGTGTTCCTCTCGCCGAGACGCGTCGAATGAACTATAATTTGACCTTGAAAGGTCAACTTGAAAATTTGACCTCAGGTCAAGGTCATGACCTGACCGGAAAAGGTCATGCTGCATATCAGTCGATGCGTCTCGGCAAGACAAACATAATGAGACCATCCCCAGCGTTCTATCTCCTTCCAATCGAGAGTTTTTGGCAAAAATCTGTTTGTAGCCTCAAATGACCTCGGATGACCTCTCTAGAGGCTATCAGCAAAAAAAAACACCTTGGTCGTCACGGGTGGTCCAAATCATTGTGGTTCTGAAATATTTGGACTGTTCCTTTGCGTACACACGGATCTAGAGGCATTTTCGTTTTTCTCCATTGACTTATAATGGAAAGGTCACGCTACTGACCTGACCTTAGGTCACGGATATAAACAAAATCCGAGATATGCACATTGTAGGTGCCCATAACATCATGCAATTTACCAAGTTTAAAACCTTTCTGACAAGCACTGCAGGCTGGACATGATTGCAAACTTTTTTGAGGCTTGGTCAGAACTTGACCTGGTGACCTGACCTGACATGACCTGGGGTAAAATTTCACACATTGTCCAAAATTGATGCACAAAAAGCTACTCCAAGCGGCGCGGTTTTTTATCCACACGCAAAAGAAACGCGACAGGGTGGTAATATATGCCTCCTCCCCCACTGGGGCGAGGGTTAACGATGCTCTATCACATTTAGGGTATTTTAGCCGTGTTAAACATCAGCCATTCTGGTATTATTTGTAAGTTAGTGTTTCTTGAAGTTCCAAAGGAACCAGCGTTTCGAAGGCGAAATGTCACGCCTTCGAAACGCTCAGGGACTGCTAGGGCATAACTTTGTTTTCAAAAGAAAACACTCGAATGACAAGATGAGATTGGAGTAAATCTTGGGAAAAGAATGATTCAATAAGGCGAACGTGATAAAAGGTAACGGCACTAACGGTTTAGAGCTAAAGGCCTCAACGACCAAATTATCAAATGAACGAATGAGTATACCTCATACCCGAGTATAGTTGTTC